GCGGGGGCGGCACCCAGGAAAGGGTCTGGGGGGCGCGGGCCGGTCGCCATGTCTGGGGGCAGGCTGCGCAGCTCCTCAGCCGGCTCCCCGGGCTCCCCCGGCTCCCCGTCCTCCCTGCGGGGCAGCAGCGGCTTGGGCGCCGTGGGTCGAGGGGGCGGCTTTTTCTTCAGCTCCCTGTAGGACAGGCCCGCGGAGAGGTCAGCCATGCCCACCCAGCAGCCGTGCGGGCACGGGCGGGGCTCCCGGGGCTCCCAGCCTCGGGGCACGCACGCATGCACGCACACACACACACACAACACACACACGCACCTCTCGAGCAGCTGCTGGCGGGCGGCCTCCCGCGCCCTGCAGGTGGCCTGCGCGCGCTCCAGCAGGGCCGCCACCTTGCTCTCCAGGTCGGCGTAGAAGTCCTTGCCCTCCTGGGACTTCTTCATCAGGTCCTCGTAGGCCTCGTAGGAGGCCACCAGCGTCTGCAGGGTGGAGTTCCACCTGTGGCGGGAGGCAGGGCTGAGGTCAGGCGAGCCATCGGGGCGAGGGGCGGGGGGCGCGAAGGGCCCGGGCGGCACTGACTTTTGGTCCAGTTCGCCAAGCAGCCGCCGCACGGCCGCGTACTGGACGTTGGCCTCGGTGAGCGCCCGCAGCACGTTGTCCTGCGCGGCCAGGTTCTGCTCCAGGTACACCTTCAGCTGGTCGTACTTCTTCAGCTGTTCCTCGAACAGCTTCTACAGGGGAGGGGGGGGGAACAGGGGAACGAGGGGGGTCCACTCAGCACATCCCCTTCCAAAGCCCAGAGCAGGGCCCCCCAAGCACCCCCGCTCCTGCCCAGCCCACCCACCTTCATCTCTGAGTGGTCAGTGGTGACCAGAGAGGCGGTGATGTCGTCCTTCTGGATGAGCTCCCGCAGCTGCTGCTCCAGCGACACGCGCTGGTCCCGCATCTCCTGCACTTTGGCCAGGATGCGCTTCAGGTTTTGCAGCACCGCCTTGTCCTCTAGGGGGCAGCAGTGGTCAGCGGGGGGGGGGGAACCCCAGCTCTTGGCCTCCCCGCCAGGGGGCGGCAGCGGCAGCAGGGCTCACCTGGGGTCAGGGCTGGCGTGGGCAGCGCGGCCCTCACTTGGTCCAGCGGCCCGCTGAGCAGACGCAGGTTGCCCACGTGCAGGTTCATGGCGCGGTGCAGCTCATTGTTGGTGAAGGACGCCTTCTCGTGCACCTCCATGTACTTGGCCCACTCACGCCGCACCTCGGCCAGCTCGGCCTTGGCGGCGGCCGGGCTCGCCCCAGCCTGGCCCGTGGCCTCGTGCAGCTTCTGCTCTTGCCGCTCATCCTCCTCCAGCAGGTCCCTGATGTCCTTCAGGGAGGCCTCCACGTCCGTGAACACACCCGACAGCACTGGGGGAGGGAGGGGGAGCATTGGGGGGCAACCCCTGAGGCAGGCTGACCCTGTGGGGGGGGTCCCACACCCAGGGGCACAGAGAGGCGTCTCGCCTGCTCTGGGCCTGGCTCACCCTGCATGGACTGCACGAGGTTCTTGACCGTGTCTGGCCTGACACTGAGCGCCGCGCACTTCTCCATGAGCTGTGGCGGGATGTGTGCGTACGTGTCCAGGTTGTCCACCGTCTCGGGGTCCAGCTGCATCGAATCCATGAACTGGCTGTGGGGTGACAGAACCGGGAGGTGCTGCCTGCTCCCCGCTTCAGTGCCAGGCGCCCCTCCTGCTGAACTAGGTCTTGAGAGGTCTCAGCAACGTCACTCCCACCCACACCCACAGACTGCTGCGAAGAGGGACAGACAGACCTCCCGCACCCCCCTCACAAGTGCAGCCATCAGAGCTGAGGGTGGAGGTCACCCCGCGTAGATGGGGCTGAGCCTCCAACTTACTCTAGGACTTCGTTCTTGTCCTCGATCTTGGCCATCATTTCCCGCAACAGCTTGGCCTTCTCCTCGCTGGGGGAACAGAGCGGCTGGTGGAGACCCCATCTTGAGACGCCCCACGCCGTGCCCGACACGCAAAGGTGGGAGCGGCGCTGCGACCCACCTGTACAGGGAGGAGGCCTCGTGCGCAGCCATGGGCACCAGTTTGGCGAAGATGTCAGGACCCGTAACAGCTGGATCTGTGGGGTTCACTGGCAAGGGCTTTACCAAGGGGGCTCCTGGTGTGTGCATAGAGGGGAAGAATTGCAGAAGGTCAGACCCACGCAGACACCGCCCCCCCCCAGCCGCCTCCCTATCTCAGCCCCATCTTCCTTCCCCGCCTGTCCCCAGCCTCACTACCTTTCACAGGCTGCAGGGTGTCCAGCGCCGGCACAGCTTCGTGGTAGATGAAGTCGTTGTCCTTCTTGGCAGAATTGTACCTGGTGGTCCAGGGTGGGGGGGGGGCAAGAAAATGGAGGTCAGACACTGCATGGGTGGCTTCCTGCCAAGAGCGCGGGGGGGGGGGGGGCAGGGAGCCGCTGCCCTCACTCACTTTCCTCCGATGACGTCCATGGCAAAGCGAAGTGCGTCCTGTACAGTGTCCGGCTGGCCCTGTGGGACAGAGAGAGGAATGGGGCTCGGCCGATGCCAGGACCCAGGGCTCTGCTCCCCTCGCCGGCTGTGCCCCGGGGATGAAGGGGAGCCAGGCCTCCCTAGCTTTACCTTAGCCAACTTGATGGCTTCATTAAGCTTGTCCAGAGCACTCTGGAAGTAGGCCACCTGTGGAGGACAAAGCCTGCTCAGTCCTTTCCTGCCTGGCCGCCAGGTGACCCACCAGAAGACAAGACACCCAGGTGGCAGATGCCAGTGGAGCCAAGGGCGACCAAGGGGACAGCGTCACCTCCTGGCTCACAGCTCTACACAGCCCCGCTCTGTGGAGGCCCCTAGGGATAAGGGCTGCTCAGGGACCTAGGGGGAGACACAGCAGCGTGATGGCAGGGACAGGGGAAATGAACCTGGGAACACCTCCCCTCCCATCTTGGGGGGAACAGGACCCCCCCAGATCTCGAATGGGGGGAATATCCCGTTGCCACACCCTAATCACCTGTTCCCCAAACTTCTGCTGCTCCTCAGCCTGCTTCCCCATGTGCAGCTGGGAAAAGAAGAAGAGGGGGTATCAGGACCGGTCCAGGCCACGGCCGCGGCCGCACCGGCCTCTAAGCCAGGCCGCTCACATGAGCCACCGCCGCGAAGTAGTAGATCTTCATCTGCACCAGCTTCTTCCAGTCCTTCTGGATGCGGCCCAGCAGCGAGGCCGTGTCAGGGTTCTCCAGGGCTCGGCAGGCCTCCTTGTAGTAATCCACCACCTGGGAGTGGACATGGGGTGAGCGGAGGGGGCAGGGCAGAGGCCGGGCTTCCCTGGAGCCCCCATCCCTACCTGCGCACTGATGCGGGCCACTAGGAAGCTCTTCCTGTTGTCCAGCATGGACTTCTCCAGCAGGCACTCCTGGGCCTGGCCCTGGGGAAGACAGGCAGGTCGGTCCCTTGCTCTCTCCTTCCTGGGGGTGGGGAGGGATCCCCTTCTCCCGATCCCCTGCACCTGATCCCCCGGGGGCTCAAAAAGCAATCCCAAGGCTCTCCAGGACCCAGGATCCTAGCTGCCCCTCCCTCCACCATCTTGGCACCTCCGCTCAATTTAAGCGCTAAAAAAGGGCGCGCGCCTCACCAGCATGAGGTTGACGTTGAGCGTGAGGATCTGGCGGCTCATGTCCACGCTGTAGGCCTGCGGGAAGTGCTCCCGCAGGTAGGCGAAGGCTCCGGCTGCGCACTGGAAGTGGGTGCAGGACACCTTCATTCCCTGGGAGCGGGGGCAAAGCAGGGAGCTGCAGTGGTGAAGCGCCCTTCCCGGCCGGGCCCCCTCCTCCCCCACGGCCCCCCTCCTTACCTCCTCCGACACCCGCTTGTCCATGGCCCCCAGCATGGAATGCAGCGCACCTGGGGGTCGAGGACACGGAGTTAGGGGAGCCTGGGCCTGGGGGGTGTGCTCCTTGTGTCCCCCAGTAGGGACAAGAGGCGAGAAGTGGACAGGGAGTCTAAGGACACCAGGCAGAGGCGGGAACACGTGCGTGGGGGGGGGGGGAAGGAGACCTCCATGTTCTCCTTTTACTACCAGAGCCAGCTAAAGCCAAAGGCCTGCTGTGTGTGTGTGAGGGGGGGTTGAAGGGGGTGCTGTCCAGTCAAAGGAGCCCCCTCTTGCAACTGGATCACACAAGACAACTGGGTGGCAGGCGGCGCGGCGCGGCGTGGTGGAGTCTCCCCAGCACCGGGCAAACAGCAGAACTGTGGTATGGCCAGAAAGGCCACAAATGCAGGGGTACCCCCCCAACACACAAAGCTCACAGCTTTGGGGGGGGCTCACCGAGGTTATAGAGAATGCAGGCCTGCTCGTACTTCATGTCCTCATGGGCCACGGACTTGCCGGAGAAGATCTCTGTCCTGCAGACACAGTGCTGTCACTGGAGTGGGGGCTGGCGGGGACCCCAAGGCCAGGCCAGGGTGGGGATCGGGGTGAGGAGAGGCCCCGGGAGATCGCACTCCTCATCCCATGCAGCAAGGACAGAAGAGGATCCCAGGCCTCGGACACCCTGCAGGTTCTAGGCTTCCCACCTGCCCTGCTCTTACCAGGTGACGGGGACGGCCGCTTCCTGGCCTGCGCCCATGGGCACCCGGCTCTGCAGGTAGTGGAGCTGGCCAAGGTACTTGCGAAGGACACTGCAGCCCTCGAAGTCCCGGGGCACGCGCACAGCATTCTGGGGGCACAAAGGGAGAAAGTGGCTGCCACCCATGGGGGTAGGGGGGCTGGGACAAAGGGAGAGCAGGCCTGCTCACCACGAGACCCCACGACAGCCCACCCCTTGGCGATACCCACGCCCCTCCCCCCCAAACAGCACCCAAGGCTGGCGGCATGGAACATGCTCGAAAATGCTTACTCTATCTAACTTCTGACTCAACAGTTCTGCATCTAAAAATAAGACCTAATTGATAAAGCAAGAGACATCGAGGAAAATATGTTTGGACGTGCGCCAGCGTTGAACACCAGATGCCACCCCACTTTTCATTAGAGAGGGTTATTGAAACAAATGACAGCAAGAGCCACACATGAGCATGCACTGCAGCGGCACCAAGTAAAGGCACACCTCTTGTGGGTCCTGATATAGGGTTAGGCCAACGGGCATGTCACAAAGGATGGCACCATCTCAGTGCTATAAAATCATAATATGACATGCACATAGAAATGTAGACCAAGCCGGGCGCCAGTAGCTCACACCTGTAATCCTAGCTACTCAGGAGGCTGAGATCTGAAGATAGAGGTTCAAAGCCAGCCCGGGCAGGAAAGTCCATGAGACTCTTGTCTCCAATAAACCACTAGGAAACCGAAGTGGTGCTGTAGCTCAAGTGGGAGAGCGCTCACCTTGAGCTGAAGAGCTGAGGGACAGAGCCCAGGCCGAGTTCAAGCCCCAGGACCAACAACAACAACAACAAAGAGAGGATGGTGATCTCAGGATAGCCACAAGCAAAAAAGTAATACTGAAAACAACAAAAGAAGGGTCGGAGGTGTGCTGTGAATGGCAGAGTGCCTATTACCACATGCCCTGAGCTCGATCTCCAGGACCATGGCGGGGGCGGGGGAGGGGGGGGAGAGGAATTCTTGCAAGACACCCAATAGGAACTCTATTTGGGCTTCCAGCCAGGATACTGTCAGAGGGACTCTTGCTTTGGGCCAGTGTCAGAACAGGATTCTACAAAGCTGTGATTACAGGCACACACCACCACAGCTCCCTTTGGCTGAGATAGGGGGTCTTGCTAACTTTTTTTCCCAGGATCCTCTTGAACTGCAATCCTCCCATCTCTGCCTCCCAAGGAATAGGGATTACAGATATGTACCACAACACTTGCTCTGTGAGAGCAGACAGTGGAGCAGACAGCTGGCACTGGCCTATTCTGGTGTCTGAGGAGAGGCAGTGTCTCAGGAGATGGGGCTCCCTGTAAGCCCAATCTCCTCTTTATACAAGAGACTCACCTATAGTAAGCTATGTCACAGCTGTACAACCACCTCTGTCTCACAGGCCAGGACTACAAAGATTGAACCATCCTTACCACGATCTCTGATCTCTGCCATGTTCAAATCCCACTTATAACAAGCACTTTTCTTTTTTCTTTTTTTGGTTGGTCCCACGACCAACTCTGGGCCTGGCACTGTCCCTCAGCTCTTCAGCTCAAGGCAAGCGCTCTACCACTTGAGCCACAGTACCACCTCTGGTTTTCTGGTAGTTTATTGGAGATCAGAGTCTCAGACTTTCCTGCCTAGGCTGGCTTTGAACCTCTATCCTCAGATCTCAGCCTCCTGACTAGCTAGGATGACAGGAATGAGCCACCGGCACCCGGCCTACAACAGACATTCTTTAAACCAATCCACTGTACAAATTAGAGCCATCTCCTGAACCAGTAAAGACTCAAATAACAAGTTCGATGTCTAGCCACACACTGTTTATATTCACAAAAATCAGTGGCTTGCATTTCCTAAAAAGCTTCCTTGGGGAACAATGAAAGCAGCCCCTCCTCCAGGTCAGACACACCAGCCCACAGCCTCTCCCCAAGGATCCCGGCCTGGCCTAGCTCCTGGGGTAGAGGAACAGGAAAGCAAGCTGGGATGAGTGCACCCTGGCCAGCTCCCTGCCCTGGTCCATTTGGTTCCATCCTCAGAGCCACCTGAAGAAATGAGTCCCAGCTCCGGGTAGGGACGGCGGCAATTTCCCCTGCTCCTCTAGCAATGGAGTGAAGGTGCTACTCTGCACCGGACGCGGCTGTCCTGCAGGGGGCGCCCGGCCCTCACCGCAGAGGATCCGCCTCACAGCAGATTACGATTAAATCATTAGTTCTCCAATTATTCCATCAACTCTCATTAACATTTAATCCTGCCAATTGCAGGAAGATGGTGGAGGAAGAGGCAAAACAGACTGGGCCAGCAGGAACTGGGGAGTCTACTAAACACCCAAGGCCCTCAACTTCCCAGGGAAGCGGGACATACAGTCGGGTTCATTTCCGTGCATTTCAGCTCCTCTACAGTAGCAGCCACCTGCTCCCCACTCCTCGCACCAGGCAAGCAGCTGTGGGAACCACGGTGGGCAGAAAAGGAGGCTTGCCCTCCAAAAATACACCTGGGCTCTTAAGGGTCCCCTTGATGGCTGCCCCTCCCCCTCCACTGTAGCCACAGCTTCCAGACTCCAGCTGAGTCACTTCCAGTTAAAGGAAGTGACATGCCCCACTTTCCTCTTTGGGAGCCACATATCAATATTAGGACATCCAAAAGTAGCCACTTCATACAGGGGAGGTTAGAAAGTAATCGGGCATACCCAAAGGGAAGTGGAGGATCTGAGAAGACCTAAAGGTGACATCAAGGCTGGCTGGCACAGAAGCAGCCTACAACAGTCAGAAAAACAAAGGAAAGAACCATCCAACACCAGGGAAGGAGGAGAATCATGTGGTGCTGAGGAATCGAACCCAGGGCCTCATGCGTGCAAGGCAAGCACTCTACCACTGAGCCACCTTCCCAGCCTCTCATTTCCATCATTAGATTCAAATGCTCAGTTTTCACTAACAAAAAGATTATACAGCATACAAACGTTCTGACAAAAACCATCCCTGAGAAAAACCAGATAAAGGATCTATTAGAAAAACACTTTAAAACAAGTTTCCTTGCTGAGCACCAGGGCCTCACACCCTAACATCATAGCTACTTAAGATAGCTGAGATCTAAAGATTGTGGTTCAAAGCCAAGTCTGGGCAAGAAAGCTCAAGGGATTCTTATCTCCAATTAACCACCAAAAAGTCAGAAGTGAAGCTATGGCTCAAGTGGTAGCACTAGCCTTGAGCAACAAAGAGCTCAGGGACAGTGCTCAGGCCTGCGTTCAAGCCTGCAAGACATGCGCACACAAAAAGGAGAAAATACAAGAGATAGAAAATCCTCAAAGAGACAAATCTGGAGCTGAAATGCACAATAGTTATGATTTTTTAAAAAAATCACTAGAGGGATTCAAATGCAGATTTGAGCAGACAGAAAAAGCATCAGCAAATCTGAACATAAACAATGAAAATTTTGTTTTTGTTTTTTTTTTTCTTTTTGGGTCTGGTCTTGGTGCCTGAACTCTGGGCCTGGGCGCTGTCCCTCAGTTCTTCAGCTCAAGGCTAACGCTCTACCACTTGCGCCACAGCGCCATTTCCGGCTTTTTTCTTTTTGCTTATGTGGTGCTGAGGAATCGAACCCAGGGCCTCATCAAGGCAAGCGCTCTACCACTGTGCCACCTTCCCAACCCAAGCAATGAAAATTTTGTGTGCACCAGTCCTTATTAGACTGGAACTCAGGGCCTCGCTCTCTCACTTGGCTTTGTTCATTCTAGGCTGGTTGCTCTACTACTTTAGCCACAGCTTCACTTCCGACTTTTTTTTTTCCGGTCCTGGGACTTGAACTCAGAGCCTGGGCACTGTCCCTGAGCTTCTTTTGCTGAAGGCTAGGACTTTACCACTTGAGCCACAGGACAACTTCTGGCTTTTTTCTGTGTATGTGATACTGAAGAATCAAAACCAGAACTTCATGCATGCTAGGCAAGCACTCTACCATTAAGCCACATTCCCAGTTCCCTTACAGCTTTTTGCTGGTTAATTAGAGATAAGAGTCTCATGGACTTTCCTACAGGAGCTAGCTTTGAACTGCGATCCTCAAATCTCAGCCCCCTGTGTGGTTAGGAAGACAGGCGTGAGCCACCAGCATTCAGCAGGCAATAAGAATTATTGTCTGAGGAACAGAAAGAAAATGAAGATTAAAAAGTGAAAGAGCTCCTGTGACATAACTTCAACTGGACCAACACATACACACTGTGGAAGTATCTAAAGAGAAGAGAAAGGCAGAGAAGAAAGAGAAAGGCAGACAAGTGAAAGAAATAACAGTGAAAACCTTCCCAAATTTGATGAAAGACATGAATACAAACATCCAAGCAAAGCAATGAATTCCAAGTAGGATGAACTCAGAGACCAACCACGGGCACAAGTTATAATAAATCAAGCGTCAAAGACCAAGAGAAACATGTTGAAAGCAACAGAGGAAATCCATCACACACAGAGATGATGCACAACATCGCTCGTAGAGGTCATCAGAAACGCTGGAAACCAATAGGCATTTTTTTTGGGGGGGAGGGGGTCCGGTCGTGGGGCCTGAACTCTGGGCCTGGGCACTGTCCCTCAGCTCTTCAGCTCAAGGCTAGTGCTCTACCACTTGAGCCACAGCACCACTTCCGCCTTTTTTCTTTTTGCTTATGTGGTGCTGAGGAATCGAACCCAGGGCCTCAGGCACGCAAGGCAAGCGCTCTACCACTGAGCCACCTTCCCAGCATAGACATATTGAATGCACTAAGAGAAGAAAACTGGGAAGGTGAGGCAGACTCCTCCCTCCTCTTGGCTAAGTCTCCGCCCAGTATCTGTGTCACCTAGGTAACTGGCACACCTGGAGGCAGTCATCTCCCCCGCCCAAAGTCACATTCTGGGCCACCCCGGTCACGCCTCCCATCAGAATGTGGGAAGGTCCCAGGCTCTGAGGTCACATCGGCATCAAGTGGTCCACAGCTTCCCTTATCTGGCCACACCCTCTCCCCAAACCCTTCCCTGGTCAAGGCGGGGCTAAACAGCCCTCTGGCCCCTTTTCAGTCAAGCTAGCTTCTCCACCAGGTACAGTGGGGGCAGCAGTTAGGTAAAATTA